CAGTAGCCCGTCACGCACGAGTCCTCGTCGCCGCACCCGTTGAAGCAGCACTTCCCCCCCGTCGCATTCTCGGCGGCCGGGGCCGTGGACGAGAGATGCTGCGGAGCCGCGGCCGGGCACCAGCTGGGCTTGGCCCCATGGCCATGCGGCGGGGACGAGTCGCAGCCGCCATCGGGCTGAGGCTTCAGGCACAGCTCCCGCGAGTCGCAGTAGCCCGTCACGCACGAGTCCTCGTCGCCGCACCCGTTGAAGCAGCACTTCCCCCCCGTCGCATTCTCGGCGGCCGGGGCCGTGGACGAGAGCTGCTGCGGAGCCGCGGCCGGCACCAGCTGGGCTTGGCCCCATGGCCATGAGGCGGGGACGAGTCGCAGCCGCCATCGGGCTGAGGCTTCAGGCACAGCTCCCGCGAGCCGCAGTAGCCCGTCACGCACGAGTCCTCGTCGCCGCACCCGTTGAAGCAGCACTTCCCCCCCGTCGCATTCTCGGCGGCCGGGGCCGTGGACGAGAGCTGCTGCGGAGCCGCGGCCGGGCACCAGCTGGGCTTGGCCCCGTGGCCATGAGGCGGGGACGAGTCGCAGCCGCCATCGGGCTGAGGCTTCAGGCACAGCTCCCGCGAGCCGCAATAGCCCGTCACGCACGAGTCCTCGTCGCCACACCCGTTGAAGCAGCACTTCCCCCCCGTCGCATTCTCGGCGGCCGGGGCCGTGGACGAGAGCTGCTGCGGAGCCGCGGCCGGGCACCAGCTGGGCTTGGCCCCATGGCCATGAGGCGGGGACGAGTCGCAGCCGCCATCGGGCTGAGGCTTAAGGCACAGCTCCCGCGAGCCGCAGTAGCCCGTCACGCACGAGTCCTCGTCGCCGCACCCGTTGAAGCAGCACTTCCCCCCCGTCGCATTCTCGGCGGCAGGGGCCCGTGGACGAGAGCTGCTGGCCCCCCCGGTGAGGCTGCGTCACGCACGAGTCCTCGTCGCCGCACCCGTTGAAGCAGCACTTCCCCCCCGTCGCATTCTCGGCGGCTGGGGCCGTGGAGGAGAGCTGCTGCGGAGCCGCGGCCGGGCACCAGCTGGGCTTGGCCCCATGGCCATGAGGCGGGGACGAGTCGCAGCCGCCATCGGGCTGAGGCTTCAGGCACAGCTCCCGCGAGCCGCAGTAGCCCGTCACGCACGTGTCCTCGTCGCCGCACCCGTTGAAGCAGCACTTCCCCCCCGTCGCATTCTCGGCGGCCGGGGCCGTGGAGGAGAGCTGCTGCGGAGCCGCGGCCGGGCACCAGCTGGGCTTGGCCCCGTGGCCATGAGGCGGTGACGAGTCGCAGCCGCATCGGTGAGGCTCAGGGCACAGCTCCCGAGCGACCCGCAGTAGCCCGTCAAGCAACGAGTCCTCGTCGCCGCACCCGTTGAAGCAGCACTTCCCCCCCGTCGCATTCTCGGCGGCACAGGCGAGCCGCAGTAGCCCGTCACGCACGAGTCCTCGTCGCCGCACCCGTTGAAGCAGCACTTCCCCCCCGTCGCATTCTCGGCGGCCGGGGCCGTGGAGGAGAGCTGCTGCGGAGCCGCGGCCGGGCACCAGCTGGGCTTGGCCCCGTGGCCATGAGGCGGGGACGAGTCGCAGCCGCCATCGGGCTGAGGCTTCAGGCACAGCTCCCGCGAGCCGCAGTAGCCCGTCACGCACGAGTCCTCGTCGCCGCACCCGTTGAAGCAGCACTTCCCCCCCGTCGCATTCTCGGCGGCCGGGGCCGTGGACGAGAGCTGCTGCGGAGCCGCGGCCGGGCACCAGCTGGGCTTGGCCCCGTGGCCATGAGGCGGGGACGAGTCGCAGCCGCCATCGGGCTGAGGCTTCAGGCACAGCTCCCGCGAGCCGCAGTAGCCCGTCACGCACGAGTCCTCGTCGCCGCACCCGTTGAAGCAGCACTTCCCCCCCGTCGCATTCTCGGCGGCCGGGGCCGTTGACGAGAGCTGCTGCGGAGCCGCGGCCGGGCACCAGCTGGGCTTGGCCCCGTGGCCATGAGGCGGGGACGATTCGCAGCCGCCATCGGGCTGAGGCCTTCAGGGCACAGCTCCCGCGAGCCGCAGTGGCCCGTCACGCACGAGTCCTCGTCGCCGCACCCGTTGAAGCGCAACTTCCCCCCGTCGCATTCTCGGCGGCCGGGCCGTGGACGAGAGCTGCTGCGAGCCGCGGCCGGGCACCATCTGGGCTTGGCCCCGTGGCCATGAGGCGGACGAGTCGCAGCCGCCATCGGGCTGGGCTTTCAGGCACAGCTCCGCGAGCGCAGTAGCCCGTCACGCACGAGTCCTCGTCGCCGCACCCGTTGAAGCAGCACTTCCCCCCCGTCCATTCTCGGCGGCCGGGGCCGTGGACGAGATTGCTGCGGAGCCGCGGCCGGGCACCAGCTGGGCTTGGCCCCGTGGCCATGAGGCGGGGACGAGTCGCAGCCGCCATCGGGCTGAGCCTTCAGGCACAGCTCCCGCGAGCCGCAGTAGCCCGTCACGCACGAGTCCTCGTCGCCGCACCCGTTGAAGCAGCACTTCCCCCCCGTCGCATTCTCGGCGGCCGGGGCCGTGGACGAGAGCTGCTGCGGAGCCGCGGCCAGGCACCAGCTGGGCTTGGCCGCGAGCCGCAGGGTCACGCACGAGTCCTCGTCGCCGCACCCGTTGAAGCAGCACTTCCCCCCCGTCGCATTCTCGGCGGCCGGGGCGTGACGAGAGCTGCTGCGGAGCCGCGGCCGGGCACCAGCTGGGCTTGGCCCCGTGGCCATGAGGCGGGGACGAGTCGCAGCCGCCATCGGGCTGAGGCTTCAGGCACAGCTCCCGCGAGCCGCAGTAGCCCGTCACGCACGAGTCCTCGTCGCCGCACCCGTTGAAGCAGCACTTCCCCCCCGTCACATTCTCGGCGGCCGGGGCCGTGGACGAGAATTGCTGCGGAGCCGCGGCCGGGCACCAGCTGGGCTTGGCCCCGTGGCCATGAGGCGGGGACGAGTCGCAGCCGCCATCGGGCTGAGCCTTCAGGCACAGCTCCCGCGAGCCGCAGTAGCCCGTCACGCACGAGTCCTCGTCGCCGCACCCGTTGAAGCAGCACTTCCCCCCCGTCGCATTCTCGGCGGCCGGGGCCGTGGACGAGAGCTGCTGCGGAGCCGCGGCCGGGCACCAGCTGGGCTTGGCCCCGTGGCCATGAGGCGGGGACGAGTCGCAGCCGCCATCGGGCTGAGGCTTCAGGCACAGCTCCCGCGAGCCGCAGTGGCCCGTCACGCACGAGTCCTCGTCGCCGCACCCGTTGAAGCAGCACTTCCCCCCCGTCGCATCGCGGCCCGACCCGCGCAGGCTGTGCGCGGGAGCACCCGAGGCGCCCAGGACGAACACGCTCACGAACAGCACTGAGCACGCCATAATTACCCCTGCCAGGTTGTCCCCGACAGGCCTCCTGGTGCCACGAGCCACAAGCAACTTGAGCCAAGACTGGCACGCTGGTCTGTCGAGTGAGTCTGCCGTCCTGTGCAAATGATGGACCTCGTGAGCTGTGAAGGGCTCTTTGGGGCCCTTTGGGGGGCCTTGTTGGGGCCGTTGGGAGGGAGCATTTTGGGAGCCTCTTGGAGGCTTCTTTGACCCTCTTGGACTATCCGGGCGTGTCTCGAGGGTCTGTGGGGTCTCTCTTGGCCTGTCTGGGCGTTCTCTTTGACTGTCTTGGGGCTCTCCTGGCCAGTCTCGGGGCCTCTTCGGGCGCTCTGGGGGCCCTCTGGGCGCCTCTTGGGGGCCTCTTGCGAGTCTGTTGGGCCGCTTTGGGGGTCCCCTGGGGAGCCTTCGGAGGCTCTCTTGGGCCGTTTTGAGGCCCTCCGGGAGCGATTCCAAGATAATGCTGGTTCAGAATGTCTCGAGCGGAACGGCCATTTGTCCGCAACCTGACCGGACAAGAGCGGGAAGCTTTGCTTTAGTCCACCAAACATGTGGAATATGCTCTGTTGTTGTTACGCCGCGCCGGTATGCCGTGGCGCGCGTGTCGGCGTGCGTGCGGGGTGTGTTTCGCTGTGCTCCTGTGTGTTCTGCCGCGCTCCTGTTCTGCCGTGCTTCTGTGTTCTGTCGTGCCTCTGTGTGCTCTGTGTGTTCTGCCGTGCTCCTGTATTCTGCCGTGCGGATCGTCGCGGTGGTCGTTTTGGCGGAGCTTCTGGGCGCGCACGGCATAAAAAGATCACGAGCACGGCAGAATAGGTCCTAAGAGCGAAGGAGCAAGGCAGAAAAAGACCGGGAACACGGCAGAATAGACCCCAAGAGCAAAGGAGTACGGCAGAATAGACCCCAAAAGCGAAGGTGCACGGCAGAAAAGGACCAGGAGCACGGCAGAATAGACCCCAAGAGCGAAGGAGCAAGCAGAAAAAGACCAGGAGCACGGCAGAATAGGGCCCGAAGAGCGAAGGAGCACGGCAGAAAAAAAAGGATCACGGCAAAATAGACCCCAAGAGCTAAGGAGCACGGCAGAAGAAACCAGGAACACGGCAGAGTAGGCCCCAAGAGCGAAGTAGAACGGCAACAGAAGACCAGGAGTACGGCAAAGTAGACCTCAAGAGCTAAGAAGCACGGCAGAAAAAGACCAGGAGCACGGCAAAAGAGGCCGGTAGAGCGAAGGAACACGGCAGAAAAAGACCAGGAGCACGGCAGAAGAGGCCCGAAGAGCGAAGGAGCACGGCAGAAAAAAAAGAAACATAAGCACGGCAGAATAAACCCTAAGAGCTAAGGAGCACGCCAGAAGAGGCCCCAAGAGCTAAAGAGCACGGCAGAAAAAGACCAGGAGCACGGCAGAACAAACCCCAAGAGCTAAAGAGCACGGCAGAAGAGGCCCGAAGAGCGAAGGAGCAAGGCAGAAAAAAACGAGGAGCACGGCAAAATAGACCCCAAGAGCTAAGGAGCACGCCAGAAGAGGCCCCAAGAGCGAAGGAGCACGGCAGAAAAAGACCAGGAGCACGGCAGAACAAACCCCAAGAGCTAAAGAGCACGGCAGAAAAAAAAACAGCAGGAGCACGGCAGAACAGACCCTTAGAGCGACGGAGTGCGGCAGAAAAAAAAAAAACAGGAGCACGGCAGAATAGACCCCATGAGCTAAGAAGCACGGTAGAATAGGCCCCAAGAGCGAAAGAGACGCCCAAAAAAGACCATGAGCACGGCAGAAAGAAAACCAGGAGCACGGCAGAAGAGGCTCCAAGAGCTGCCGTGCACGGCAGAAAAAGACCAGGAGCACGGCAGAATAAACCCCAAGAGCTAAGAAGCACGGCAGAATAGGCCCCAAGAGCTAAAGAGCACGCCAGAAAACGACCATGAGTACGGCAGAATAGATTCCAAGAGCTAGGGGGCACGGTAGAAAAAGACCGAAGCAAGGCAGAATAGGCCCGAAGAGCCAAGGAGTACGACTGAAAAAGACCAGGAGCACGGCAGAATAGACCCGAAGAGTGAAGGACCACGGCAGAATAGGCCCCAAGAGCGAAGGAGCACGACAGAAAAAGACCAGGAGCACGGCAGAATAGACCCGAGGAGTGAAGGAGCACGGCAGAAAGAAAACCAGGAGCACGGCAGAATAGGCCCGAAGAGCGAAGGAGACAAAAATGAGAGGAGCACGGCAGAATAGGCCCCATGACCGAAGGAGCACAGCAGAATAGACCCCAAGAGCTAAGGAGCCCGGCAGAAGAGGCCCCAAGAGCGAAGGAGCAAGGCAGAAAAAGACCAGGAACACGGCAAATAGACCCCAAGTGCTAAGGAGTACGGAAGAATAGGCCCCAAGAGTGAAGCAGAACGGCAGAAAAAGACCAGGAGCACGGAAGAGTAGACCCGAAGAGCCAAGAAGGACGGCAGAAGAATACCAGGAGCACGGCAGGATATACCCCAAGCGCTAAGGAGCACGGCAGATAGACCCCAAAAACAAAGGAGCACGGCAGAAATACTCACTCTCTGCCGTGCTCTTATTTTTTCGTCCGCCGTGCTCCGCCCGATTTTCTAAGGATGTCTGCAGCGAGAGCGCCATGTTCAACGTGAGAGGTAGTAAAACCGCCTCTTTGACATATAATTGTTGTGAGGATGTCTCAGGCGATACACCAGTGTTTGAACACATGTCAAATTCGCGACTTAGAACCAGATGGAGTTCACGATCCGCGCAAATTCCGACGTGCCGCTCACCTCGAACGTCCACAAAGGATACCGCATGGAATTTGACCATCCACTACCCGCGCGAGTTTAGACGTCGCTCTTGCCCCAGACGCCCGCAAAAGATATCAGGTGGAGTTCACTTCCCGCGCGAGTTCAGAATTTGTTGGAGGTTGTCTCGAGCGAAACGCGATGGTTTTAACCAAACTGTGGAAAACCCATGGTTGTTTCAATAATTTCGCCTTCGAGGACCCGTCCGAAGGCAATTGTTGGAGGATGTCTCTAGCGAGACGCTGATTTTTCAACGAAAGTGTTAAAAACACGTGGGTTGTTCAATAGTTTCACTTCTTGGGCCATCTTGGAGGTCATCCGAGATCGCTCCGAAAAAATGCCTCACAAGAGCTCTGTCGGCATATCACACCGGAAGCAATCAAACATACTCCATATCAGAGAATAAGCGGGCGGCGGAGAAAAAAAACTGAAAGAGTAACTGACGTATCGAAGAAAACGGCGGCAAGACAAACCAACAAATGCAAATCAGCTGGAACTCCCGATAAAACATTGGCGGCGAATCGTCTTGTAACCAGTACGGAATGATTATGGCGGGCTCTGTTCTGGAATCAGTTGAATAAAACTACAGCGAATATATACATATATATGCACTGTACATATATATATATATATATATATAAAAACATACATACACATAACCATAGAACTATCTATATCTTATCACAAAAAACTCGGAAATCAAGCGCGGGCGCAAGCGCTCCCACGCGCTCCCAGGCGCCTCCTGGCGTTCCCAAGCGTTTGTATGCGCTCCTGGGCGACCTCCCCCCAGCACTCGCAAGCACTCGCAAGCGCTCGCATGCGCGCGCAAGCGCTCCCAAGCGCTCGCATGCGCTGTCAGGCGTCCGCCGGGGCATTCGCAAGCGCCCGCGAGCGCGCGCGGGCGCTCCCAGGCGCCGGAGTTAGCAACCTCATATGACAAAACAAGCGCGGGGAAAAAAACAACAAAATGGTGGCGGGCTCGCCGGCCAAAATCAGTTCAGAATGACGGCGGCGGCGGAGGGGGGCGCCCAGTCAGTACTGCAGTGAGCACCGAAGAAACCGTAGTGATGTCGGCATCCCATTGTTTCCAGGATATCTTGGGCGAAACGCCCATTTTCGAGGATCCGAAAACCTTTCCTGACATGAACGGGAAGCGCGTGAAAGGGAAGAGTTGCGATTAAATGTAATACAGGCGAGCTCCCCGAACGCTCACAAAGGATACGTATGGACACGCGCCCCCCGAACGTTTACAGGCATCTTCCTGATTACCCTCCTCACTCCTCCGCATGAGGACGACGGCGAAAACGACGACCGTGGGAGGAGGAGGAGGAGGAGGAGGAGGAGGAGGAGGAGGAGGAGGAGGAGAAGCAGGTGGTGGTGGAGGAGGAGAAGGGGGGGGAGGAGGAGGAGGAGGAGGAGGAGGAGGAGGAGGAGGAGGAGGAGGAGGAGGAGGAGGAGGAGGAGGAGGAGGAGGAGGAGGAGGAGGAGGAGGAGAGGAGGAGGAGGAGGAGGAGGAGGAGGAGGAGGAGGAGGAGGAGGAGGAGGAGGAGGAGGAGGAGGAGGAGGAGGAGGAGGAGGAGGAGGAGGAGGAGGAGGAGGAGGAGGAGGAGGAGGAGGAGGAGGGGGGGGGGAGGGGGAGGGGGAGGAGGGGGAGGAGGAGGAGGAGGAGGAGGAGGAGGAGGAGGAGGAGGAGGAGGAGGAGGAGGAGGAGGAGGACCAGCAGCAGCAGCAGGAACAGAGGGTGAGAAGGGGACGGGGGGGAGGAGGGAGGACGAGGAAGAGGAACAGGAGCAGGAGGAGGAGGAGGAGGAGGACGAGGCGGAGGAGGAGGAAGGAGAAGGAGGAAGAACGGGGCCCCAGGGGGGCCACGGGTCATGTAATCCAATATTCCTTATCGGATTTGGATAGCCCGTGAAACCTCAAAGGACCAGGAAATGTCCAATCCAACCTTCCTTATCGGAATTCATCCTCTTCCTCGTGCGTGGGAGTGAAGAGAAAGATGAGAAGGAGAGGAGGAAGAGGAGGAGGAGGAGGAGGAGGACGAGGAGGAGAAGGCAATTGCTGGAGGCTGTATCGATCGAAACGCTTTGTTTTTAACAGAACTGTTGAAAACCATTGGTTTTTTCATAAGTTCGTCTTCGAGGACCCGTCCGTACGCAATTGTTGGAGGATGCCTCGAGCGAAACGCTGACTGATCAACGAAAGTGTTAAAAACACGTGGGTTGTTCAATAGTTTCGATTCGTGGGCCATCTTGGAGGTCATCCGAGATCGCTCCGAACAGATGCCTTACAAGAGCTCGTTCGGCATCCCATTGTTTCGAGGATA